AGAGAGAGAGAGAGAGAGAGAGAGAGAGAGAGAGAGAGAGAGAGAGAGAGAGAGAGGTGGTTCACAATGGGTGTCACCTTACCTGCAAGGGAGGCTAACCTCTTCAAATCCATAGTGAAATCGTATGAGACGAAGCAGTATAAGAAGGGTTTGAAGGCTGCGGATCAAATTCTGAAGAAGTTTCCTGACCATGGGGAGACCTTGGCCATGAAGGGATTGACGCTCAACTGCATGGACAGAAAGCCCGAAGCTTATGATCTCGTCAGGAAAGGGTTGGTTAAGGACCTCAAGAGCCATGTGTGCTGGCACGTCTTCGGTCTTCTTCATCGCTCCGACCGCGAGTACCGCGAAGCCATCAAGTGTTATCGCAATGCTCTTCGATCTGATCCCGACAACATCCAGATTCTCCGAGATCTGTCTCTCCTCCAGATCCAGATGCGCGACCTTGGTGGCTTTGTCCAGACTCGTTGTCAGCTCCTCACTCTTAAACCCAATCACCGGAACAACTGGATCGGCTTCGCCATCGCCCAGCATTTGAACGATAACAGGGCCACCTCTGTCCAGATTCTGGAGGCCTACGAGGGTACCCTGGAGGAGGATCACCCCCCGGAGTCCGAGCGGTATGAGCACAGTGAAATGCTGCTCTACAAGGCGATGCTTCAAGAAGAGAGCGGTGACTTCGAGAGAGCGATTCAAGAGTTGGACCGCAAACAGGCGAAGATCGTGGACACATTGGCGTGGAAAGAGCAGCGCGCGTCGTTGTTGCTGGGCCTGAAACGGCTGGGCGAAGCCGAGGCGGCCTATCGGAAGCTTCTGGACGTCAATCCTGACAATTACGCGTATTATGTCGGATTGCAGAGGTGTCTAGGAGTGGAGGAGGAAGCTGAAGGGAGTTATTCGGAGGGCAATACGGCGAAATTGATGGTGTTGTACGAGGAGCTGCGTGAAAAGTACCCTCGCTCGGCGGCGGCGAAACGCATCCCCTTGGACTTTTTGCAGGGTGAAGTATTTGCCGAAGCGTTAGATAGATACGTTCGACCTTTCTTGAGGAAAGGTGTGCCATCGTTGTTTTCCGATCTGCGGCCTCTTTATAACCAGCCAGGTAAGGCGGAGATCATGGAGAGAGTGTTCACGCGACTGGAGACGAGTCTGAGAGCTAGTGGACGGTTCCCTAAGCTTGATTCTCTGTCCTCTCCTCTTCCTCCTCCTGCTCCTTCCGCTCCCTCTTCTTCCACTTCCTGCTGCACTTCTTCTCCGCCTTTGCCTTCTTCCTCTTCTACTTCTCCTCCGTCTTCCAAGGCGGGGAGCAGGAGGAGGAGGAGGAGGAGAGATGACGATGATGAATCTGATGTCGATGCTGTCCGTGCCTCTGGTGATCACGATGATGAGGTGGTGGAGGAGGAGGAGGAAGAAGAAGAAGAAGATGGAGAAATCGACGACGACCAGGAGCCACCATCGACGTTGATGTGGATGCTGTTCCTGCTCGCTCAGCATCACGACAGAAGGGAACGATTTGACAAAGCATTGGAGATGATTGACCGCGCCATTGCCCACACTCCGACCGTAATCGACTTGTATCTGATCAAAGGACGGATTCTCAAGCACGCGGGGGACCCCGTGGCGGCGGCGGCGCTGGCAGATGAAGCCCGCAGCATGGATTTGGCGGACAGGTTCTTAAACAGCGAGTGCGTGAAGCGCATGCTCAAGGCCGATCAGGTGGAGGCCGCGGAAACCACTGCCGCGCTTTTTACCAAGGACGGAGATCAACACAACAACTTGTTTGACATGCAGTGCATGTGGTACGAGCTGGCAAGTGGGGACAGCCATCTGCGGCAGGGAAATTTCGGGAAGGCGTTGAAGAAATACTTGGCCGTGGAGAAGCACTACCAGGACATGGAAGAAGACCAGTTTGACTTCCACACGTATTGTTTGAGGAAGATGACGCTGCGCGCGTACGTGAAGATGCTGCGCATGGCGGATCGGCTCCATAGCCACAAGTTCTTCTGCAGAGCGGCGGCTGGAGCGGTGAGGTGTTACCTGAAGGTCTTCGACAAGCCGCCGTCCGCGACGGCGGAAGAGGCAGACGCTGCAACAATGCAGTCGATGACATCGGCGGAGAGAAAGAAGGCAAGGAGGCAAAAGGCGAAGGGAGAGAGGGCGAAGAAACTGGAAGAGGAGAGAGCAGCGAAGGAGGAAGAGGCGGCGGCTGCGGCCGCCGCCGCCGCCGCTTCCGCGAAAGGAGCGGGAGGAGGAGCGAAGAAAGGAGGTGGTGGGGCTTCTCAGGGTGCTAAGCCCGTGGATACCGATCCCGATGGCGAGAAGCTGCTGCAGGTGCCCGACCTCTTGGCAGAGGCGAGCAAGTACCTCCGACTTTTGCAGGACCATGCCGATAGCTCGTTCGAGACGCATCTTCTGGCTTACGAGGTGGCTGTAAGGAAGAGGAAATTGTTGCTCGCCTTGAGGGGAATCAAGAAAATGCGGCGGATCCAGCCGCACAATCCCGACGGCCATCGCTGTTTGATCGGGTTTTTCCACTTGGTGGATGGACTGCCCGTTGAGGACGTCAACCCGGTAGTGATGGATGTGGTCACAGCAGAGAGGAAGGAGATGCTAGGGGCGAAGTCCTTGGTCGACTGCAATGAGGCTTTCCTGGACGAGCACTCCGGGAGCTTGAGCCATAGGGCAGTCGTGGCAGAGATGATGCTTTTGTTGTCGCCTGAAAAGAAGGAGATGGCATTGAAGCTCGTCCTCGATTCTCCGAGTGGAGGTGGTAACCTCGCTGGTGGTTTTGATGATGCTGACGTGTCGTCCCGGTGGCGATTAGACCAGTGTGTTGCGGTTCATCGGCTGATTCAGGATAGCTTCAAGGACGGGGAGGCGGCGGCGCGCTGGAGGGAGCGGTGTATTGCGCATTACCCCTACTCGCTCTACTTCAGTGGTCCAAAGAGTTCCAAGGTAGTGGGTTTGCCTGTGGTTGCCGGCGTTGAAAACGTGGCTGGTGGTGGCGGCGTTGGAAGAGGAGGAGAAGGAGGTGGTGGTGTTCAGAAGGAGGACTCCAGCTCGCCGTGTGCTGCGCAGAACAACACTCTTACCGTGTCCTCCTCAAGTACGGCCCCTGGGATTGTTGCCACGGAGAACGGTTCAGGGAGCACCACCTGAGAATAGGTCATCGGAACCAAGGAGATTGATTGATTGATTGATTGATTGATGATTGATTGATTGATTGATTGATTGGTTGGTTGGTTGGTAGGTTGGCTGGCTGGTTGGGCGGGCGGGCGGGCGGGCGGGTGATGATGGGGATTAAACCACTCACACAGTTTTGCTTTGGCGGGCGCGCCGGCGAATGGAATGCAGAGTGATGGGTGGCGTTGTTTGCCTCCTCTTGTTTCTTCTGCTGCTGCTCCTCTCCGCTACTTGTCTTCCTCTCTCTCCACTCTCCCCTCCTCCTCCCCCTTATCCCCCCCCTCCTAGACATCAGTTGCCCCAGGTTGATTGATCGATTGGTCAGTTATTCCACGCGTCTGCACGCGCTTCTAGTCTGCACTGCGTTGGGATACCGTCTGGATATCTGGCGCCGCCCTGCTACCTCCTCCTCCTCTACGCTTGGCCTCAATTTCTTTCCCACCATTGCCAGTTTTACCCAATCTCCCGTTCTCTCCTTGTTTTACCAACTCTTCGTCTCTGTGCTTGAGAGGTCTAGTACGTCTTGCGCGGCCTTTGACATTTCCATCCTACGTGGTCTTCATTGTGAGCATGCCATCCATCCTGCTCCTTCTCTTCTTACCCCTAGTTCGCACTCTGGTTCTCCCCCTTCCCCTTCCCCTCCCCCCCTTCCCCTCCCCCCCTTCCCCTCTCCCTTCCCAAGGATCCTTCCGTCCCTTCTCGTATTGCTGACCTTGCTGCAAACGGCTATGGCTTCAAGCTGAGAGATGGCCCTTTTTTATCGCTGCAATTTCCCATCACCTGTTAAACCGAACGGACGAGGGTCTTCGAGGGGCCAGTTTGCTGTTGATTCTCGGTAGTGGGGCGTTGGCCCCTAAGAGTGGTGTTCTCAGCTTCTATCTTCTGCGGAATTACAGTAGTTTGCAGAGGAGCAGAATGCTGAGATAAGAAGATGAGGAAAAGGGTGGAGGGTGAAGGGGGTTGCGTGGCAAGTGCAGCCCAACAACCCTGCTTTCTGTCGGTTTGGGCATAATAGAATGAGCGAGGCTTCCCGTCCGTTTGACAGTGAGGACCGTAGACCCTGCCGGTGCAAACACCCGCACGCAGATGTACACACACACACACACGCACACACACGCACACACACGCACACACATACAGGCACACACTCAGGAGAAGTCATCGGCAGTAATTGTCCTTGTTGATTGGCTTGTTGGCGATCTGCAAATGGGGGAGCTCGAGGGGCGTCTTGCATGTGTGAGTGGTTGAATGTTTGGTGACCTAATGCGGAGAGAGAGAGAGAGAGAGAGAGAGAGAGAGAGAGAGAGAGAGAGAGAGAGAGAGAGAGGGGGGGGGGGGGGGGGGGGGGGGCGGGGGGGGGATGAGAAAGGAGGGACGGGAATGGAGAGTTTGGAGTGTGTATTACACACAGGTTGAGTGGCTGCCAGGTCCCTGTGATTGTTCGTTCGTGGGCATCGTGTTGGTTGTGTGACACGTGGCGTCCTGATGCATCTTGTTAGGTGTGTGATTTAAGTGACGTCGTTTTCACGTGCGTGACACGCGGAATCATCATGTTTGTTGTGACTTTGGCGACATCGTTGTTGGTGAGTTACACTTGGCGTTGTAGTGGCTGTGGGACGCATGCATTTTCAAAGTGAATGAACATGTTGTTGTTGACATAGGGTGGAGACGGGAGCGGGGTCCAGAGGAGGTGGGTGCAGAGAGGTGGGTGCAGGACCTAGAGTGGTAAATGGTACAGTCAGTGAGTGCCCTGTTGATATAAGGAATCGATAAAGGCCAAAGGCAAACATGAAATCATCAGCGAATGTATTCTTCTCTCTTCATTCCTTTCCCATGCATCCCCAGAGAATCAGTGCCTTGATTAATTAATCAAATCAAACAATGAATCCCTGTGTAGATCTTGGATTTGTTCGGCGTATTGCTCCCAGAGTGGATTAAGGAAAAGCACTAGCCGAAATCTTTGCGTTCCGTTTGTGAGTTGAAATTATGGAGAGCTACCCCCTTCCCCCCCCAAAAGAGAATTGACATGGGAAGAGTCGACTTAACAGTAGTCGCTGTGGATTTGTAAGAATTACCTTATGCTCCCTCTTCTGTATCAGTTTATATTCAAATTGATTTTGGAACAAAAAGCCAGAAGGATTCGTCAGCCTGCGTTCAATCTGTATTAGTCTACACTGACACTATTGACTTTTCAGACTGAATCTGTCCTCAACTGGATTCAGGTACGTCCGCAGAATTCCCAACGTCTAATGCGCCGTTTGTTAGTTCTCTCTCTCTTTCTCCATGGAATCCAGAAAGTGAGCCATTCCTGGGGTAGCCGAAGAAGCATGAAGTCCCAGTGTGAATGCGCCGGTAGGTCAAAACGCACTCTTCCCATGTCAATTCTCTTTACCGGACCGACTGATCGACTGAAATTTCTGTGCAGTAATTCAAAGCTGAAGTAAACCTTTGATGGACCATTGCTGAAAGTCGCTGTTTAATAATGAGACAGACTACTGTTAAGTCGACTGTCATTTATCTGAAAACATTGAAAACAATATATGGATACATATCATGAATGAATATATTTTTTAATTGTATATAATTTGATAATAGTACAACTTGATCGGTGACAGAATCATGATAATCCGCGTGCTTTGTGTCGGGGGGACCCATTTGCGTGTAATATCTGTTGATCATGATCCGGAGGATTGTGACGAGTTCATGAGGGTTAGGTTTGTGTGAGTCTTGGGAGTAAATCAATCAGTGGGGTTTTGTGGGGGGTGGGAGTAAATGGAAGGGGGGGGGAGCATATGGTCGTATTTGGCGTGAAAAGGGAGGGAGGCGTGCAGGTTGCTTATAGGGTTCAGGCGCGTGTCTGGAGTATTCACAGTGGTTGATGGTGGGCGCCATTTGGGAGGAGGGCTTATGCGTGCATGATTCATGGAATGGGTTGCCTTGGGTGTGAAAGCATTAAAAAAAAAAAAAAAAAA